GACGATTTGAGATCTATAATTTTCGGAACATTTGTTGCTAAATTCCTTGCTTGCCTGCCCCTCCTAGGATCTTCGAACCCCCCAGAAATGGTAAAATTGCCCATTTTTAACGGATTTTTACCCTAAAAAGGTCGCCTAGAATTTTCGGGACCAGATTTACAGTACAGCAATATAAGACATTGTAAGACATTCATCTTCAGAAATAACACTGAGCTGAATAGGGCTCTACAACGACAAAATATCAGCAACGCTTTGAAAAATGTGTAAGTAAAATTCTAGCCTGCAGTGCAGACGTTTTCTTTGAGCGCGCAATTTACTGGCGAAAGCGCCATGTTGATACTTCCCGAAGAGAGGAGGAGATGAGGCAAGTCAAAGCGAGCGGCGAGGGGGCGTTCGCCCTCGCACCTACCGTAAGGGTTACTATTTCTACTCTCCCCAATCTACTCTCTCCAATCAATCTCCACTGTCATAGAATCAAAGATGGCGGCTACAAAAATATTAAGAGCGCGAACAAGGTTTCGCCCACCCAAAATACGCCTGCACTGCAGGCTAGTAAAATTCAAAAGACGCAAGACGCCTACAAATTTCGGATGGAAATTATGGAAATTACGTCATGGATAAACTCACGTGTGAGATTATGGAAAATAAACCACTCGGGTCCCGGATGTAGTTTTTATGAATTTTACGAGTGGTATATTTTCCAGTAAAACACTCGTGTCTATATAATAAAAGGATTTGTTTACCTTTGTCCTTCTAGAGGTACGTGGATCTTCTGACTCGGAGCCACGGTGCAAAGCAATCTTGAATTTTCCAAATATTAGAGGAAAAGTTTTGGATTGACACCTCTATTTATCACTAATTAACGCTGACTGCCCAGAGAGTTTAGCTAGCTGACTTACTTTGGACTCAAGCAATCTCACAAAATCTTTAAAAGCAAGGGAAGCGAAAACGTCTCAGGACAAGTCGAAAGTTGAAGGCGAAAGAAACTGCTTCAGAACCTTCTAGAACAGGTAGACTTTCTTTAGGGTGGTGTGGGAAGGGTTGTTGTGAGGACACGCGAAAAAAATTCACATTTCAATCGAGGTGTGTGTGGGGGGGGGGGGGGGAAGGGAATCGAGGAGGAAAGAGCAGCGGCAAATCCAAAGGGGCACCCGCTCATCTAGTCTCTTTGATTAGAGGGGGCTCTACCCCAAAATAATTTTTATCTCGGTCGTGGCCTAGCCTGTTCAAGGCGTTCACAACGTACAGACGGATCCTGGAACAGGCTACAGTTTGGCCCCGGCTCCCCCTCCCCTAGATCCGTCACTGATCTCACGCGCCGTCCCCTCAACCTGAACATCTGCAACAGATTATTTATGATTAAAACCACTGACCAACATTGTCATAATTTTTTCTATTATATTTTCCATGAGTTTTTCTCCTGGTATTCCAAAATATGGACTACTACGCACCCCTTAGAGCTAATCTGCTCTCCTCTGCTGCTGCTCGCATATACCCGTTTTTCTGTTTGGATCACGGTAACCGTCTCCGGAGAAAAATAATGCTTTTTGTTTCATGTCCAGTCTTTTATATCTGAATCGAAGAGGTTTTACAAAAGTACCCAGATATGTATGTTCCACCTGTTAGCATTCCTTAAATATCTTCTTCTTTTTGCTGCCGCTCCCAGTTTGTCTAATTACTATTTATTGTATTTTTTTGGATTTAATGATATTTCGAAGTGAGCCCTCTCGATGAGTCTTTTGTTACTCTTAGGGCAAACTTTGTCAATAAAATATGTTTAAATAAAAAGGCATATGCTGCACAGGACTCCCTTGTATAACGCCACAAGGCTCTCCAGCCACTCAGATAGCCCATGATATTTTTTATCACGTTAGAGGGCACTCAAAAGTTATAATCTTGATCCCGAAATACCCTATTTCCTAACGCTTATCTAAGCGAGATTAAATGGTGTGTCTTAAGCCCTTGTACTACAGAGAGTCAGGAATAAATAATGCTCCACACTCTCTTGCATCAAACAGGTGTTCAACAGGTACAGTGTATGTACACGCATCGAAGTAAGGAAAAGTTCGGTTATTTACATGTTGACTAACATCAACAATTGTTGGTTTGCACGTGATGTCACGGTGGTGTGTTGGTGGTCAAGAACAAAAAGCATTTCTGTCCTCTGGGAACTAAACTCTATTTTCATGTAAATTCTTCGAAAAAAGATCTGTTGTATTGACCACCAACACACCACCAACATGGCCGCCTTGTCACGTGGTTGCAAGCCAAGAATTCGTCTCGGAAAGACTCGCATGTGAAAGGAGTTAGAATGCCTGTGGGAGAGTTGGTTTAAAAGTAGACTGCAAAACAGTCCGTATTTTTGCGTATTCAAGTACACTGTACGCACGAACAGTTTAACAAAAGCTGAAAACGGAGAGCGAGGCTGGAGAGAGACGCTAGGTTTTTTTCTCCCGCCCCACACACCCGTAGGGCGTGTGAGGCTCGCGCGCTTCGCGCGCGTGAGGCTCTTACCCTGCTCTTTTCTCCTGTAAACCAATTTTAAGAAAAAAACCGACTGTTTTGCAGGCTAGTTTAAAAGCTCCTAAACTGAGGTTCTAAACAAGACCAATCTGCGAGTGTGGCTCCAGCTTTATTAATTTAACCACTCAAAGATGACATAGCGAAAATTTTTTTTCAAAAATTGATCCCCTTAAAGGATAGCCTGAATTTCAGACGATTACGTCGAGTCGTTTTCACTCCCTCGGCAACTGAGGGACTCGAAGTAATCGTCTGAAATTCAGGCTAATTAAAGGAAGTTCTTCGTATCAAATTCTTCTTTCCCTCTTCTTCTCCTTTGACTGAGAAATGGGATTGTTACTCCTCCTTCAGAGCACTTTTAAAAGGAGTACTCGTTATGTCCCTTGAAGGGAGGCAGCTCGTAAGCACCCATAGCCCTTAACGACTTGGTCAAGCACAGAAACTAGTAGGGAGTTTAAGCAGCGACGTCTTTGAGCGACGCACATCAAACGGAAGTGAGCCTTTTTCTCTTTTAATATACCTTGACGCTACATAATTTGTATTGCTGAGTGTCTTTACTCTCATAAAAACATAGATAATAGTGATAAGGACAATTTGCCCCAAAATAATCACGGATCAAGAGTGCAAGTCCACTTCCGGTTGACATGCGTCGCTCAAAAACGTTGCTGCTAAACTCTCGAACTGTTTCATTACTTGACCGTAAGCCTGCGCCACAAACGAAACTATACTTTGATTAAGTCCCTCTGAGGGGAGGGGAGCTCGTATATAGGCTGCCCAGATTATTCAAGCTGTCCGTTGTACAAGTAGCCTGCATCGCGGGAAACGTAATTTAACCTCGGTTAATAACGTCTACCAAACAGCGCCGAGATCCTTGTTCTGGGCCCCCAAAAGACTCAACGAATTACCGGAAGTGCGTTTTGAATTTCCTTTTCAACCTGATTGGCAAATTGGCAATGGCATTTTTACTTGTACCACTGAGACCCCGAAGGATTAAATAATCGGGGCAGCCTATACATGGGTGATAGCTTTAATATTAATGGTTGACGAAATCATTAACCACATTTCACTTGCACGCTTTCATTAAAAATCACTGCCAGAAACACGGACGTACACGTTAAGAGTGGAGAACGCCGTTCTGCGCCTGACAAAGGAAAACGTGCAGCTTTCGGTAGTCCGTTAACATTCGACCTTTTTGAGTCACTTAAATACATTGGCTTTTACTGCATAAAACGACTGGTTCGAAGTCCCTTTCTTGGGGCCTGCATAACACAGTACACTTAGTCAGTGACTTAGTTGCGTAACGGAAAATGCCCGCGTAGCAAGCGTTTCCGCCCGAGTCCGCTTCTTCCGTTTCTCCGCTTTCGTTCCAACATTCGCCAACAAACTCGCGTAGAGACACTTGCTACGTAGGCTTAGGCCTGTTTCAAACGTCGTGCTACAGGCGTTCTAAGCTGCCTCAACTTCAGTTCGACTGTAGCACGACTTGGTTTCAGACGTCGAATTTTACTACGTCAAAAAAAAATTACCTTTTCTTGAAAACAAAACTTAATAATGAAAAGCGGTTTAGTGAACCTTTAAAATGTCTTCGAATGTATTTATAATTGATGAATTGAGTTCAGCACGGCAGTAGGACGACGTTTGAGGCCAGTCGTGCTACTTCTGCGCTAAATTCGAATTTAATTCAATCAATTGAATTCGGCACGGCAGTAGCATGACGTTTGCATGGAGATGTCTTAGTTGCTAGGAAAACTGTCAGGATCTTGTAAAAGTGACAGCAGGATTTAGCCTATTAATTAAATCCATTTTTAGACTGCATATCCTGTATACCTCATGCCAGGTCAGCAAACATCCCCACACCCCTGGTCTCCGGGACTCTTTACCCCTGCCTAACATTTGCTATGTAGTGTCTTCATAAAACTATAATTTGGATGTTGATTAATTAAACAAACCCTTCTAACGAGTTATTAATTTATTCTCTAAAATTAAGGAAGCTTGATTACTACGTAGTTAATAAACAATTTCAAGCTTCGCGCCGAAGGTTTACACTAACAGTACACCATACTACTTTAGGGCTACAATTAAAGATTTGTCTCAGTAACCGTATTCATAAATTGAAGCTATTCATAGACCACATCTGCATTGTCAGTATTAAAGAAGATGCTTTGCAAATGAGGCTTCTCTTTTTGAGGGGGGAGGGGGTAGGTATACATGTATCTACAAATATCTGCTTGAGAGTGTGCTGTAACCCTTTTTAAAGTTCAATTGTGAATCTGAATTATTCACAGCAGCCACTAAGGAGTTTCTGTACTAAATAAGATAAATTTCAAGTCTCAACTTCGAAAGTCTAGACGGCTTAATATTCACAGGAAGTAAATGTACCGTTCTCTGTTTACTCCTCTTACCATGAATTCAGAATTTCGGAAGTCAGACTGTGACTGGTTTTACTAATACCACGTTTCAATATTCAGCCGAGGTCGTTTTTCTTTGACGGCCTCCTGAACATACTTCAAATCTTCTTCCGAACAATCTCCTGGCTGAAAATAAACCACTTCAAGTTTTTGCTGTTCAAACAAGTATGGGATCATTGATCTTACTGCGTGTCCGACTGGATTGCCCATCAGGTGCAAACTTCGAAGATCAGGAGTGAATTTCAAATTCTTGAGCAAACCAGACAAGTCAGCTTCACCCATATCTAAGTGTTCAAGTTTTAATACTCTCAAGCAGGGGAAGAGGCACAGGTTTTTCGCAAGTGGAGCAAGACTTCCTCTCGCAGTGAAACCAGTAAACGACAATAGCTTTAAAGAAGAAGGTCTGTTAAATCTGCCAAACAACGCCTCCACTTCCTTATGCTGCAACCTGCATTTACACAAGCCGCCCCTTATCTCTAGTCTTCGTAAGGCCGATAATTCAGGCAGCGACTGACCAAGCGCCTCGGCCGCCACTGACGTCCAGCTGATTTCACTCAGTACCAGTTCCTCGAGAGTTTTGTGTTTGATAGCGGCAACGAATTTTGTTACCCCTTCATCAGAGCATTCAGTCAATCCACTTATCTTCAGTGTTTGTAAGGCCGATAATTCAGGCAGCGACTGACCAAGCGCCTCGGCCGCTACTGACGTCAAGTGGATTTCACTCAGTTTCAGCTTCTCGAGAGTCTTGTGCTTGATAGCGGAAACCAATTTTGTTACCCCTTCATCAGAGCATTCAGTCAATCCACTTATCTTCAGTGTTTGTAAGGCTGATAATTCAGGCAGCAACTGACCAAGCGCCTCGGCTACTGCTGACGTCAGGCTGATTTCACTCAATTCCAGTTTCTCAAGAGGCTTGTGCTTAATAACGTCAATCAATCTTGTTACTGCTTCCGCAGAGAATTCAGGCCACCGTTTTATCTTGAGTTCTCGAAATACTGGAAACTCTAACTGCAAACTGTATCCATCTGAGCCACTTATCTCCAGTTTTTGTAGGGATGGCAATTCAGGCAACGACTGAACCAGCGTCACAGCTGCTGCTGACGTCAGGTTCATTCCACTCGGTTGCAGTTCCTCGAGAGTTTTGTGTTTGATACCGGTAACCAATTTTGCTACCGCTTCATCAGAGGATTCAGTCAAGCCACTTATCTTCAGTGTTTGTAAGGCTGATAATTCAGGCAACGCCTGACCCAGGGCCATGGTCGCTGCTGATGTCAGGTTCATTTTACTCAGTTTCAGTTTCTTAAGAGTCTTGTGCTTGATAGCAGTAACCAATTTTGTAACTGCTTCATCAGAACATTCTATCAGACCACTTACTCTCAATGTTCGTAAAGCTGATAATTCAGGCAGCGACTGAGCGAGCGACCCGGCAACTGTTGACGTCAGGTTCATGAGACACAGTTCCAGTTCCTCGAGAGTCTTGTGCTTGATAGCGGAAACCAATTTTGTTACTGCATCATCAGAGCATTCAGTCAATCCACTTATCTTCAGTGTTTGTAAGGCTGATAATTCAGGCAGCAACTGACCAAGCGCCTCGGCTACTGCTGACGTCAGGCTGATTTCACTCAATTCCAGTTTCTCAAGAGGCTTGTGCTTAATAACGTCAATCAATCTTGTTACTGCTTCCGCAGAGAATTCAGGCCACCGTTTTATCTTGAGTTCTCGAAATACTGGAAACTCTAACTGCAAACTGTATCCATCTGAGCCACTTATCTCCAGTTTTTGTAGGGATGGCAATTCAGGCAACGACTGAACCAGCGGCACAGCTGCTGCTGACGTCAGGTTCATTCCACTCAGTTGCAGTTCCTCGAGAGTTTTGTGTTTGATACCGGTAACCAATTTTGCTACCGCTTCATCAGAGGATTCAGTCAAGCCACTTATCTTCAGTGTTTGTAAGGCTGATAATTCAGGCAACGCCTGACCCAGGGCCATGGTCGCTGCTGATGTCAGGTTCATTTTACTCAGTTTCAGTTTCTTAAGAGTCTTGTGCTTGATAGCAGTAACCAATTTTGTAACTGCTTCATCAGAACATTCTATCAGACCACTTACTCTCAATGTTCGTAAAGCTGATAATTCAGGCAGCGACTGAGCGAGCGACCCGGCAACTGTTGACGTCAGGTTCATGAGACACAGTTCCAGTTCCTCGAGAGTCTTGTGCTTGATAGCGGAAACCAATTTTGTTACTGCATCATCAGAGCATTCTACCAAATCGCTTATCTTCAGTGTTTTTAAGGCTGATAATTCAGGCAGCAGCTGACCAAGCGCCTTGGCCTCTGCCGACGTCAGATGGATTTCAGTTAGTTCCAGTACCTCAAGACGCTTTGGCTTAATAACGTTAATCAATCTTGTTACTAATTCAGCAGAGAATTCAGGCCAGTCATTTATCTTCAGTTCTCCTAATACTAGAAACTCTAACTGCAAACTGCATCCATCCGAGCCACTTATCGTCAGAATTTGTAGGGATGGCAATTCAGGCAACGACTGACCCAGCGCCACGGCTACTGCTGACGTCAGGTTCATTCCACGCAGTTCCAGTTTCTCGAGAGTCTTGTGCTTGATACCGGCAAAAAGTTTTGTTCCTGCTTCAGCGGAGCACAAAGTCACATCACTTATCTTCAGTGTTTGCAAAGCGGATAATTCAGGCAGCGACTGACGGAGCGACTGGGCTGCTGCAGTCGTCAGGTACAGTTCACTCAGTTCCAGAGTCTCGAGAGTCTTGTGCTTGATACCTGCAAAAAGTCTTGTTGTTGCTTCAGGAGAGCATAAAGACAAGCTGCCTATCTCCAGTGCTTGTAAGGCTGATAATTCAGGCAGTGATTGACCGAGCGACTCGGCTGCTGCAGTCGTCAGGTTGATTTTACTCAGTTCCAGATCCTCGAGGGTCTTGTGCTTGATACCGGCAAAAAGTCTTGTTCCTGCTTCAGCAGAGCACAAAGTCACGTCACGTATCCACAGTGTTTGCAAGGCGGATAATTCAGGCAGCGACTGACCGAGCGACTCGGCTACTGCAGTCGTCAGGTAGAGCTCACTCAGTTTCAGTTCCTTCAGAGTCTTGTGCTTGATACCAGCAAAGAGTCTTGTTCCTGCTTCAGCAGAGCACAAAGTCACGTCACTTATCCTCAGTGTTTGCAAGGCTGATAATTCAGGCAGCGACTGACCGAGAGACTGGGCTGCTGCAGTCGTCAGGTTCATTTCACTCAGTTCCAGTTCCTTGAGAGTCTTGTGCTTAATAGAGGCAACCAATCTTGCTACAGCTTCGGCGGAGCAATTAGCCAAGCAAAGGGAAAGACGAATGACAAGTTCAAACTTTGGTAACAAAGATGCCAGCTCTACTGCTTCCTTTGATGTTAAGGAACAAAACGTGGTAGATAAAGAGCATTTGCGAGGATTTGGTACATTCTTTAAGATATGAGATAAGTAATTATTACTCCATAAAACCTCTAAGTGTTCCAAATAATTACAATTTTTGATAGCTGCACCAAGACTCGTCATTGAATGTTCAATGTACTGGCACTCAAGAGTTTTCAGAAATTCCAGACTTAACTGTCCTGAACTTTGATGTACTGAATGTGAAGAAACTGCATTATCAGCGATTAGTTTGGCGTGGTTTTCGCACCAATTCGTCAAGCGTGTGATGTAAAAGTAGACCTGGCCATTACGAAAACAAAGTACAAAGGAAAAACCACACTTGAAGCACCAAATATCATAACTATGTACGAATTTTTCTAAAAATTCTGCAACTCTGAGAGCTTCAGAACTTTCGATAATCAGTTTTTTAACTATCTCATAAAGTCTCGAGATTGTGGCTTGTGCGAGATAACAGTCTCTTTCATGTGACACCAAAGACCACGAGTTTGTATCAATCGCGTTTAGCAAGAGGTAATTGGGGAATGACTCTGTAACAAGAAGGATGCTCCCTAGCGAATCCAAGCAAGCCCTAGAAAGCTCAGCTTTTAATTCGACCTCTTCAAATGCATTTGAAACCAAATCGCTGAATTTCCTCTGACAATCAGTGACGTCACTCAGTGGCGTATCTGTCTCGTTTTCCTCCTCCGGAACTGTTTTAGATAAATCCAGCGAAGGATCTGACATTCTGACAGACTTCAAATACCTGAAAGTCGCTAATGCTCCGTCTTGACTCAAGCCACATAGAAATGGGAAAACATTCTCTAAAGCCATGCACTCCTCGAATTTCTCTCCAATTTCAGCAAGATTTCCGCTTACAGGTATACATCTATAGGTGATGTACCATGCAGCCAGAAACTCCTGTATGCTCTTGTGAATAAAGGAGACCATTCCAACTGGTCGTAAGTTTTCTGAGTATTCCGTGATTTGAAGCAAACCAATGAAGACGCTTTCATCAAGACGGACAGAATCGGACAACTGACTGTATTCAAACAAATGATCATCCTTCAGGAGACTTTGTAAAGCAACTTTACCTATTTCAGAGAGGATCTCTTTATAAGATTTTAGCTCCACATACTGCTTTGTTTTAGTTTTATCAGCTGTTTGCTTGCTATAGCTGTGATTTAAAATGAACTGGACGATGTCCAAGTACAATTTAGTTTTAGATTCTGGAAAGCTTTTTGACTTCCCTTGTTTCCACAGAATGCAGAAAAACAGGAGAAGTAAGGGGACTTTTGCCAGTTGGTCTAAATCCTTCTCATCTAGGTGACCCTCTAACTCTGAAACGTCTTCGCTGTTGAGAAATCTACGCATAAAGTCTTCTCTGTCTACTTTGCTAAACCCTGTAATTTCAGCATGCAGGTCTTCACCTCCTCGTAGCTCGTCAGCTTTTGAAATACGAGTCGTTATCAGTACACAGCAGCTTCTCAAACTATTTCCATGAAAAATCTCGTATATTTCTGAGTTGCATCCCATGCGATATTCGTCGTAGCCGTCAAAGATCAGAAGAACTTTCTCTTGGTTGTTGCTGATATAATCAACAAGGCCCTCTGTCATAAATTTGTCTTCCTTTGCAAACACGTTGGAATTTCTTATGACATCTACAAGGC